TATTAGTGCAGTCGAGGTGCTCTCAGCACTTTCTGCACTGAAAAAGATTGGAAATTAATTATTTAGAATTTATGAAGTATGGATGATGATGTTCGTTAATTCAGCTTTATTTAATAAATTTGTGTACTTTGAGAGAGTTCATTCTTGTATATATATGGTGCTCTTAATTCTTTTCTTTTTTACTTTTCAGTCTATTGGATGCCGCAGTTTCGTGTAAATTACTCTTTTGACCTCTGAGATTTCAATTGTTATGTTTATTGGTTTGAAAACTTTTTATATTATTTCTTAATTTGGTATATAAGTTTATGTTTATGATAGGTCTACTCACTGCATTCCATGTTTGCTTTAATTTCTGAAATGATCTACTTTGTATCTTACAAAATGACGTATGCATTTGAGATTCAAAACCTGTTCACCTTTTATAGATTACCCAGGTGACTTTTGTATTTTTTGATCTTGGCCAAGCCTAAAAATGTATAAATGTCCTCTAATACGAAGCCCTTACAGTGTTCCTGGGGTCAGGCCGGAATTCACTTCAATTCTTATAGCCTTGTAAATATCACAACGTAGGCTTTTCTATAACCTTTTGTTGTTTGGCTGTACGTAGCTGTTTGTCCATAATATTTACGAGGAGTAATTGTTTTTTGAAGATTGGTTGCTTCTGCAGCGAGCAAATTAGACGTAACTTCCAGGATATTATAAACAATAGGAGGGACAAAAAACCTCTTTGTGCAAAGATCAGAGATAAAGAATTACAGTGTTAAGAGCAGTGGGGACGGCACTGTGTGTTTCTTGAGTTTTATTGCGCAAGAAGGGCATGGAGTTTACATGAAAATGAGCAGTGGTCTGAAGGATGAAACATTTGCCGTTTGCAGCTCAAAAATATAGAATTTATGGGGTAGGTATCTTGCGGGAGGCGAAAAAAGGCCACAGTACTGGTTTTGGTTTGCGTACTTCTGCTGGTACATTTTACTTAGTCTCAGCATTCACTTGAAAGAAGAGGTAAAGTTGAGGATTTTTTCAGCTGCCTTTCATTTTCTTTTGAGGAGAGTGAGAGTTTCGTTAACTGGGTTGATGATATTCAGGATTAGTTAATAAAAAAACTTAAATAAGAAAGTTATTGGATATATGTAGATTTTTAGTAAGACCTGCGTATGGCATCTTCAGCAAGAGAATCATTCCCGTAGTTGTATTATTTGAAGGGGAAGAGCTTTTCAAACTAGTTCTGAATGGCATACGATAGACCTAAAAGTAAAGGCAGAAATATGCAAAAAGTGGAAAAGGAAGACTACAAAAAATTAAAAAGTTTACCAGTTATAGAAGGAAATTTAAAAGAAGAAATCAATCACATATCACTAAATTAAGTTTGTCACCATTGCCTACTTTTCCTACAGTTAATACTCGCTTCTTAATCATTGTGCGAGTTGAAAACTGAAGGTATTTGAACAGATTTTGGTTTTAAGATATCGAAGTTACCGAATATAAAACTTCATTACTTCAACACCGCCAGATGTGACACTAAAAACTTAGAAATGAAAGATCTAAATTTCGCAAACTGCGACGTTTTTAAATAATTACATTGACGATTGGTTTCTCTGCTAGTTATACAAACCTTTCATATAAAATTCAGCAGAGTTAAGAAGGAGAAAAAAGCATTTATGGCATGTTCAGAGTGTTAGAAGAAAACATTAATGTTGGAAACGCAAGTCACTTTAATCCTCATTAGCCGAGATTTACTTTCTTCATTCTTCTACATTGAATTGAATATATTGTGATCCATAGTTGGTGATTCAAGACTTAAAGAATTCTTGGTTTTCACGTGGATTTCGAGTGGAAAGTCTAATAAACGCAGGTTTGTAGTTTGAAGCTATTAGTGAGCAGCTTCAAATTAAATAAAGGATTTAAATAGATGCACTTGTTTCTAAACTAAATTGCACTTTTTGTGATAGACGGCTTTTGTCTAGCAAACTGTAATACAGTATGCTGCACAAGTTTGAAATATTCTATGAAACCTTTTAGAACGTATTTCTAAATGTTTATCTTTTGTTTTTTATTCACAACTTTACCGGTTTTTACTGCAATAACCTACTGTAGATTACCGTCGTATTTTATAATCTTGTCAGAACTTTAACCTTTTTAATGCTTTTGCAACATGTTCAAAAGCAGCCAAAGCAGAACAGTGAACTGCGTTACTAAAGTAAAAATCAACAAACAAAAAACCTAAGCATTATTCACTTTGCCGATGTGTCTGATGCAGACTGCCACGTCTTCCACAGTTTCAGAATTCAGAAGTGAAAGATTATTCTTGAGTCAACGCGTAGCTTAAGTTTTAAGGAAAAGAATAATAATTCTTGAAAAATTGTGCCATTTCCTAAACGAGGCATTAGAAATATATGCATTTCTTAAGGATGACAGCAAAAAATTTCTTTAGTAATTTTGTAGAAATTACTTGACAGAGGAGTTAAATTGTATCAAGAATGTCCTAAAACCTTTGGATATAAACTTTTAAAAGTTTGTGTTCTGAAGGCATGATGTGTACCATTTCGCCAGAATCCTTCCTCAGAATAATTAGCAGAAAATAATAAAAAAAAGTTCTCTCTTTTGCACAGTAAGAATTTCGTTTTCAAATTTCTTTTTTTACTTAATTTCTAGACCACCACCAAGACATATCAAAACGAACTTTTTTCTAAAATTTCTAAACTGAAAGAAACTTCTTTTTCAAGTCAGACATGAAGTAATAAAACTTGAAAACTGCCTATTTTCAGTTTTTACTTCATAATTTACAAATTACAGCATTTTTTTAAGGCAAGCACCACTATGGTTGGCTCATCGAAAAGTTCACGTAGACGTTGTAAAGCATGTGGTAAAAATAAAAGTTTATGTAGTTATAAGAAATGAAAAAATGAAAAATTTAAATTAGCATGGTTGTCGACCTAATATGTGGGCCTTTCTTTTTTTTTTCAGTACTTTTTTACTTTTTTACTTTTTACTAAGTACTTTTTTTTGCTCTAAATAACTTAGCTTTGTAAAATTAAAGAATTTATTTCTGATAATAACTGCAAAATATTAAAAATGCCGCCGGAATAATGTTTTAAAAAAAGAAAAAAAAAAAAAAAAAAAAAAAA